TATCGATTGATGATGTAATGAAAGATTGTGTGATAATATATCAACCTTTAATTAAAATATCAAATGGCCTGAACGACAATAAAAGGCAAAAATGGCTTATCACTGTCCGCCATCAAGTAAATAACTCACGTGCCCGGCGAATCTATAAATTTGTAAATCCACGCGGATATATCTTGCGCAGGCAGGAGCACGGACTCTTTAACTAAAAAAAAAGTGTTAATTAAAAATTAAATATTCATTTCCGCGGTCGTTCACCGCGGTCGTTGCGTTCGAGATCCCTCGTTCGACGTACGGTTTCTCTCTCGTGTTTCTCCCGTTTCCGGCGGCTGGCTACATCGCCGGTAGATCTCCCGGGAGTGATACACGCACTCCTCCCCAGGGGCGGTCTAAAAAAAGCTCGCCGAGCGAGAAAATAGGCTGGCAAACGCGCGTTTATCAGCGCGGCAAAGCAAACGCGCCGCCCCTCGCGCGTCAACAAAGTTGGCCGTGTGTTACCGCCGCCTTTGAGACGAGACACAAAACAAAACTGAACGCACTGCTCAAAACAATTAGGGGAAAACTAGCCGCGTGGCGTATCGCCACCCTGCTGAAACAAGTATCGTCCAGGCCTATCCTACAATGCGGGAATTAATTGATTTGCGCACCGTGCCTCGCTCGGAATCTGGGTGACGGTCGGTCCCCTCCGACTCGCTGATAACTCGGCTTCAAACATCGTGCACGAACGTTTGCCTTCGCCTGCGATCACTGTTTCCTGTACTTTTTATTATTTATACTCCGAGTGGGGGAGAAGGTTCCTTCTTCTCGAATTGACTGATCGAAAGAAAGAACGTTCATATTTTTTTTTTTTATTTTATTACGATCTTCTGCCACAGTTTTAGACAGTCGTTCGAAGAGTCGTTCGAAAAATGCAGCGACCGGTGTTTTGTTTTCAGTTCGAGCATTCGAGCGTCTTTTCCGTATTCGTCAGCCCGAGATCGAAGGCTGTTCCGATACCGGCCAAACTTAGTTGCGATCGTCATTAACCGTTATCCGAAGTCAATTAGTCGGAGGGCTTATGGGACGTGACTCGGCGCAACGGGCGTGGAATAATGGCTAACAGGTTGGACGGTGTGCGCCGCGCGGAGTCGAACGTCGTCGCAGCGTGAACGTTGCCGGCCTTTAACGACGTCGATTAATTCTCCTCGCGATAAAACGTTGAAACGTCTCTGTTCAACGTGGCCTGCGGATTGATCGTTGGAAATGGAGCAGGACTCGTTTAGACTCTCCGCTGGCAGCAACAGCTCCGGGCTCGGCCTCCGAGATCGTCGCGTTTTCCTTTCCTTTCTCTCTGTCCCCCCCTCCCTCTTTTTTCGTCATTTTTGCGAAAGCGACACGGTTACGTAATATCCGGTTGAAAAAGGCGACGATTCCGAGATTCCTCGCTTTATCTCTGCAATCCTAGTTGCTAGATGCCCGAGCTATAGAGACAGTCGCGCCGCTGAAGAATGAAATTGTTGCCGCAGGCTGGATTCACACTTGCCCGTGTCATCGCGAACGCTTTGTTCAGCGGCTGATACGCTTTATCGGCCGCCTATGCGAATATCCTCGCGTTAAACGACGCGTCAAATCCACGTTCAGCCGCTTCATTAATTAACGCGCGTGTCTTACTCGCGCGAAAAAATTTGCCGAACCGCGCCGAGCGGCCGTTTCTGCTCGATCGTGTTCACCTGGTTTCGTCCTCGTGGACGAACTCTTTCGAACAAACGACCAGGCTAAAATAGGCCCGTTTTTGCGATGTGAAACGAGCGTGTTCGAAGAGAACGCTGGAACGAAGTCCGGTGAATTTTGCGACGAGGACTCGACTCGACCGAGTCTTTTGGAAAGGCGTGGGATTGGATTTGGGACAATTATCAGAATCAACGTTTCCACGTGTGGGTTTCCACGTGTCATGTTTCGAAGATAAATTCATGGCTGAAAGAGGCATTCATACTCAATCGAAGCATACAATTTCCACCGGAAACATTGAACAGCCCAAAAAAATAGTGAAACTTTATGATACAGTGGACGAACGGTTAACAAACAGTTCGATCTGCGAACATATATCGGACAACAAACACTTTTGCCAAAGATTTTTATGCTCGTACAACAAACATGTTACCAACACCACACACTCCTGTGTAAGATTTGTAGAATTGTACCTAT